AAATTCCTATCTTCCAAAAATAGCTCCAAACACAGCTAATAGAAGGGGGAAACGATTGCAAAGCGTAGAGATTGAGTTTCTAGGCACGAGGACAAACTTTAACGGTAAAAATCGTTAAAAACGTACCTTAATCACTCAAGAACACCATGGAACCCTCTATTCAGCTCCCTCACTATTTTGGGACGAAAATTAAATGTTTTGGGGTCTTACAAGTCGGATTTTCCGACTTATACCACTTGTTTGACCCGACTCGGTTCGCGACCCGATTTCAGCATGGATAGTTCGGGGTAAAACAGTCATAACTTCTTACTTCAATGTCCGTTTGATGTGAGGTGTTTTTGGTTGTAAACTAGACTTGTAGACCTTCAATTTAATAGGTTACGGGTCCCATAACTCATTATATATCGGGAGAAATGATCTGATATATTTGACCCAAAGTTTAGAAAAATTATTAGAGAAATTTACGATAACCTTTGTCAACCTTTATTTCGCAACTTGCTTGACTCCAAAACTTAAAATGTGACCCCTGTGATATTATAATACCTCATAATACACTATTCTTAGCATATTAGACACTCTTAGTCTTATCCCACAGGTGCAAGTTAACTTAAACCTTCCGAACGCGCGGGGTGCTACCCGAGCCATTTCTTTAACCACGAACCTTTGTTTAAAGGATTCCTTTGACCTAAAGCTTTAGTTAGTTCCTTGATATTACCACACATTTTTAGTCTTATTCTCCCAATGTGCTATACCCCATCATATATACATAATATAACCACGCCACGTTACGTATATTACGTAAGAGAAGAGAAAAAAACACATGGGGTCTCACACATTCATACAACGCAAATGTACTGCAGTTGTAGTTGGTAGCATGGTCATGCCAAAGTATTGTGATTCTAAGACAATTTACGCACCAAAGGATATACAAACTGCCATGTTGTCCCAACACGGAGTGAACCTAAGCTACATGCAAGCATGGAGAGCAAAGGAAAAGGCTTTACAGTTTTTGAGAGGTCATCCGACTGAATCCTACAACAAATTACCAAAATATTTTTATATTCTTGAGAAGACGCATCCTGGTTCAGTTGTTAAATTGAAGAAGACAATAGATGAATGCTTCTTATATGCATTTGTTGCTCTTTGTACATCAATAAGTGGTTGGGAATATTGTAGACCAGTAGTAGTGGTTGATGGGACATTCTTAAAGACAGCCTACAGGGGGATATGCTGACAGCAAGCACAATGGATGCAACAGGTAAAATTGTAATTATTTGGTAGCTATTTTGTAGACAGTTTATAAATTGTAGATACTTTGTAAATATATTGTAGTTTATATGTATTTGTGTTTTTATATGCATTTTCAAAGCTGCCAGTTAATTATTTTTTTTACTAATAATGTAGGTACAATATTGCCTTTGGCATATGCTGTGGTTGATTCGGAAAACGACGCATTGTGAAAGTGTTTTTTTGAGCAATTCAAGCAAGCATATGGTGAAATAACTTCAATGTGTGTTGTTTCATATAGGAATGAGAGTATTCTGAAGGCAACATCAATTGTCTATTCGGACGTGCCACACTACTCTTGCATTTGGCATATTTGGACAAATATAAGGGCAAAGTTCAAGAAGGGTCATCTACAATTAAATGAATTGTACTTTGCTACAGCACAGTCATACACTCTAGATGAATTTAATGAAAAGATGTCAAAGATTGAAGAGATAGACCCGCGTGTTAAATCATACCTCTATGATATTGGCTATCATAGATGGTCAAGAGTACATGCAACGGTGAATAGAACTTGGACTATGACATCAAACATTGCAGAGTCGTTGAATGCTGTAACAAAAGATGCAAAAGAGCTGCCAATATTTGACCTATTAGAGTATATGAGGACACTTCTTGAACGTTGGACGAAAGAGAAGTTATTGAAGGCAAAGGGTACTTTTACATTCCTTGGTATAAATTCAACAAAGAATTGGAGAAAAACAGTACATTATCTCAGAAACTTAGGGTAAGATCTGTTTATTTGGTGCAGAAAAATAATATTTTAATATACAATATTTCCAGATTATAGATAAATTGTAGACAAATTGTCGTTAATTTGTAGATTGTAGATAATTTGTAGATAAGTTGTAGATAAATTATAGATAATCTATTTTTATAATTGTAAATATTTTTCTTTCTGTTTGTTATATAATTGTAGGTGAGGGCTTCAAAATATCATATCCATACTGTGATAGATGGTGTGAACCGGTACATTGTGTGTCTTGAAAGCAAGAAATGTAGTTGTGGCCAGTTCTAACTTGATGAACTTCCATGTGCGCATGCTTTGGCAGCTTTAAGGCACAAGAATGAAACTTATGAAAACTATTGCTCTCCGTATTACACAAAGGAGAGCCTACTGCCTACATATGAAATACCAGTAAATCCCCTTCCTGATGAAAGCAAATGGAATGTGCCACAACATATATCTGATGAAGTAGTAAATCCACCTACGGGAGAGAAAAGGCAGCCAGGAAGACCTCAAAAGGAAAGATACAAAACATATGATGAACTAAAGCCAAAGAAGTACAAGGTGTCATATGGCAATTGTGGAGGTGAAGGGCATAACAAAAGATCTTGCAAAAATGCATCCAAAAAGAAAGAAATATCATGTAGTTAGAATAGTATTTCAAAATAATTGTTAGTTTGTTCAAGTTAACAGAATTTTGTGTCTAATCGTTTGAGTTTTTAAAGATTATAATGTAGTTAATTTCAATTTGTTTCTATGTTTCTTAACATGTTTTTCTGTATTGTGTCAAGCATCTACCTCCATTTTTGACATTCTGTACATAGCAGTTAATATTTATTATCTACAATATAACTACAAGTTAAAAAAAATTAATTTAACTTGAACTGACAGTTATATACAGAAATTAAATACAAATGGAGGTATTCCCTACAAATTATATACTTATTCAACGATAAAATTATATACAATCTCAACATTCAGTGTTTCCAGATTGTAGATAATTTGAAGTTTTTTTGTAGATATTTTGTATTTTAACAACATAATAACTACGTTTAAGATAATGAAGAAAAAGTGCTGTAAATATTAAACATCTGGAGATAAAACTACCAAGTTATTTTCAAGTGAACTGCTAAACTGGATAGAAATTAACAAAACAAAAGGTCTGCTACAATAAAAACACAAATGAATTGTTCAGAAAGTTGTGTACTATACTTCTCCTACAAACTAGCATTAACTAAATTGCATATACATGACACTACTTCTTCTTTCTCTGGACTCTTGTTTTTTCATTCAATGCAGGTGCACCTTTCCTCCTTGCTAGTATGCATGTAACCTCACTTTCACTGATTGACCCATCTTCCTGTTTTTTTGTAGCATAGTCCCATAGGAGCGCTCCATAGCGTCTACGATGTTGGTCAATATCAGAAAGGTCTTCTATGGGAATTGACAAATCTCCAAGGCTAAAATACTCCACAAAGGCAGCAACAAATACACCACAATCGCTGCAGAACACAATTTTTTTTAAATATTTACCAAATGATTAGAAATAAAAAAAGAATTAAATGCATAGAAAGAAAGAATAGATTTTTACAGTGACCCTTCTTTTTTCTGTGGAATCTCTCCAACGTTCCACTGGATATTAATAGGGTCGGTAACAAGTTTCTTGATGTATACCTTTGTATTCTTGAAGTTAATGTCTTTACGCTTTCCATATAAACCAGTGCATGACAAATACAAAGGGATAATAACAGAAATTTTTTTGACACAGGATTCAACAACTTTATGGTTGCATGAAGAGACCATGGAATCATACGCATAAAGTTGCATATCTGCAATGTCGAAAACGACCAACACCCAATGGAATTTTCTACAATATTGACGGGCATGATGACATAGTCAACTTCATCCCATGCAACATTGGCAAGTAGTCTATACCCCAAAATATATTCTGCAACAACATCTTGGAGTTTAACAACCGAATACTTCTTTTGTGGAGGTGAATTTATGAACTTTTCATAAATTTGTTCTATCCTGGTCTTGAACAAACAATCTGCGGTGGTAAACCTGGTCTTGTTATTGGGGCCATACTTGCCTCTTTTCCTCAAGTAAGACATTAAAACATCAATGTGCTGCAACAAAAAATAGTTGGCATATAAACAGCAAGTCAACTTTAAATAATCTACATAAAACTACATTATAACTAAAATTTAATACAAAATAGAAATAAAAAATCTACAATGATGTCTAAAAACAGCTCTACAATTTAAACTACAAAGTTAACTTTAAATAATCTAAAAATAACTACAATTTATCTACAGTTACTGGGCAAACATGTAACACAACATCTACAATCATGTCTACATTATATCTATAATTTATACTACAAGTCATCTTCATATATTATAGATATCTATAACATAAATACAATTAAACTACAAAACAAAAGGCAAAATATCTACAAATCATATCTTGGGAATAGACTCCTTGATACTTACCGAGTCATTGAGGACTTGTCCGGGGTGAGCCAGGGAAAAGAACCATTCCTTCTTATCAACCTTTTCCACTCCAAGGTCTAACCAAGGCTTAATTTGGTTATCCTTTATGGAAAACGGAGTCTTCCTCCTGTAACAACAAATAAATGTCAAAAAAAATTGTAGATTGAATTAGATATGTAAAAGATAAATGCTGAAATGCAAGTGTCAAATTATGCATTCATACCTCTTTGAACGTTTGTCGCTACAGTGGTATAACCACTTGTTGAAGTTATCTAAAACCTCCGGATCTACATCTTCACCAATAACAGTAGTAAAAGGGTGCTTGAGGTAGAAAATTTTAGGTCCAACCGAGCTGCTGCCCCCAGAACTGTATAGAGGGATAAATGGTGATCGGGCATGCTTTCCCGGATGCCTTGTTCTCCNTGAATTAGATATGTAAAAGATAAATGCTGAAATGCAAGTGTCAAATTATGCATTCATACCTCTTTGAACGTTTGTCGCTACAGTGGTATAACCACTTGTTGAAGTTATCTAAAACCTCCGGATCTACATCTTCACCAATAACAGTAGTAAAAGGGTGCTTTAGGTAGAAAATTTTAGGTCCAACCGAGTTACTACCCCCAGAACTGTATAGAGGGATAAATGGTGATCGGGCATGCTTTCCTGGATGCCTTGTTCTCCCCGGATGCATAGGTGTTGAATCATCTTGTATGGGCTCGCCAAACTTAACCAACTAGGATAAGTTGTCAGGCAACTCAAAATATCTAGTGTGACCCCCTTCTTCTCAACTCCTGATCCTTCTGAATTACCTAGATCCACATACTGTGCATCTGCACCTTTATTGTCATGTTCCTCAATGACTTGTTCTGTCTGAGCTACTACTGTCACTCCGTGAATTGGGGACTGTGCATTGATATCTTCCATCACTGTAACACAATTCATATCTTACTTAACAGGAATGTTAAAATTTATAAACAACAAGAAAATATCTCTGAACGACAGTATGATACCTGCTTTGTCTTCATCAGCTGCAACTTGAAAATGTGTATATAAATCACCATGTGCTGGAAGATTTTCTTGACCAACTGCACCTTCAACATGCTCTGTTTTATAATTAAAAATGATAAATAATACTGGATAATGGTGGCTCGAAAGTTGTAGCATATGTGTATCAAAATTGTAGATAATTTGTGGAGAAGTGTAGATATGTTGTATATACACTGACACAAATTGTAGATACTTTGTAGGTATTTTGTAAATACCTATTTTGTTGGTGCTGGTCTGCACTTGTTCCCCAATATTGAACTGAAAATGCTGATTGTTCAAGTTTTTTTGTTGGTCATTGTATTTGGTTGAACTGCCTGCAAACTGAATTTTTTATATTAGTTTGTATATATTTTTTCATATGTCTAAATTCTTTTGCTATAAAAATAAAAGTCAGATCTTACCTTTGCATCATCTTGCACATTTCTACTGTTTATCATTTACAAAACAGTCTGCACAAACTCATTTATAAACCCTCGAAGGCTATCGAGTTCTACAAAGGCAGCTTTCCTAAAATCTTCAAGCTTTCCATCAACCTACAAGTTACAATATAGTAAGTTGTTAACTTTATAATATGTCCTAACATACATTCAAAAACATATGCAATTATATATAGATATATATCAGAATTTACAAATTTGTAGATATTTTGTAGACAGTTTATGAAATGTAGATATATTGTAGTTTATATGTATTACCTGCTCAATTCCTTTTTCTAATTTTCTAATCTTCTTAGCAATAGACTCATTGTCCTCTTCTCCATCTGTTTGTATGGGTTCCAACGTAGGAGGATCAGCATTAGGAACCTCAGATGTTTGTTCACCTTCTTGAACTTTGTACTCAATTTTGTCGGGCAAAGTCAGCACTGCAATCTCTTCTCCAGATTCACCTATGTTGGTAAACTAAATGAGGAAAAATAAATTAGTTTGATCAAGGCAGAAAATGTAGAATAATTGTAGATATTTTGAAGGTAAATGTATAATCATAAAAAAAGAAACTTTACCTTTATCCACTCAGGCTTTATCATCTTCTCTTCAAAGACAACTATCCAAATCTGCCCCTTACTAGCTGACCATATTAGTATGCGAGGTATTGAGTTAGAACATCTCGTAGCTAGATCAGTGTTGACAGTAGAGCAACACTCGTAAAAGCCATACTTGCAATGCTAGTGAGCATCCTCGTATGAGATAAGAATGTACATACGGATTTAGTCTGTGCCTAACATATTCCATCATCTGGGTGAAAGATTTAATACCCCATGGGTATGACTCATACTGCCCAGATTCTACCAAATAAAACCTACAGTGATCTATAAAAGAAACATGATCTTTGTCCGAAGGACAAATGAAAAATTCTAAAAGATAAAGGATGCACAACTTCACCATATCCTCATCGTTTACCCAGGATCTAGTGATTACTATCTGTTTCAAATAAGACTTCTCCACTCTTAATTTGTTAGGAAAATAAGTGCTCATTATTTTGCTAACATAAGTGGGAGTATAACCAAAATCAGTAACCTGGGTAACACATCTTAGACCAATAATTAATGTAAACTCACTCAATCCAAAATTTAATGTTTCACCCTTTAACTATACAGAAAAATATGATGTATTGGGTTTGGTCAATTCATACTTCATCAGAAGATGAATGACTTGGTTTTGCATGCATATGGTGGGAAGAGACAGTAAGTATCCAAAACACGTCTTTTTGAAAAGATTCAACCCATTTGAGGATAGAAGCTCTTTAATCTGGCTAGGAATGCTAGTATCACACAAACTAAGCACCCCATAATCAACATTATGTGGGGCAAAAAACTGTCCATTCTGCACAAATAATAAATTAATTCACATTAATAAAATGCATAAAAAGGATAAATTCATCTATATTTTATCTATAACATAACTACAAATGATTACATAATATATACAATTTAAAGCATTTTCTACAAAAAGGCAGCAACAAAAGATAAATACAATTCTACTTCAAATAGTACAAGTTACCTAACAGTATAACTACAAAAAAACTACAAAATATCTAAAACTATAAAGGCAGAACATCACAACTACAAATAATCTTCAAAATTAAGACAATTACTCTACACTTGTGTAACACACGTATAACACAGATTTTACCATCCTAAACCAAACTAAAAAATTAGAAATGAAACTAATAACCTTCGTCAATGATTGGTTCTGAACAATTTTAGGGTGTTTTTTTGAATGTTTCTTCATTTTTGGATTTTTCGAAATAGGAGACACCTTTGCTTTCTTTCCTTTCGAAGATTAGAGACATCTTCTACAAAGTCGTCGTCTACCGAAATCTCTTTTCCTTTTCGTTTGACTTGTTTGCCTGGTGTAGAAGTTTCTCCAACATCTACATCATGTTTTTTTTGGTTCTCACCTCGGCTTTGATTTTTCGGGGAGAGGAACTATGAGTAGTCTCTGCAATTGTATGTGGAGATTTCTTTTTGGGTGATTTTGGGGATAACACACCCAAATCAAATGAGGGTATATCAGCTACTGCTGATTTTTTAGGACTTTGTTTCAAAGCTTTGTTGTTCTTCATTGATGAACTTCAACTGGAGTAAAATGGGGACCTAACTTTGTTGAAGGGTTTCTTCAATTCTCTATGAATTTAGAAGGAGAATTTGGTTACAGTAGATGGGAAATGATAAAAAGAACGTGGGTATAAGTAAAACGTGGGTGGGGCTGAGGGGTTAGGAGAGAGAAACATGGGATGAGTGGGATACTGGGATATACAGATTCCTTTAATTAAGGAGTAAAAACGTACAATTAATTATACCCTTAATTAATTATGGTATAGAATTGGTAATTTAGTATACTAAGTGTAATTAAGTCAAACCTTAAACATTGAGGATAATAAGGTTTCCTATGTGGCATAGGAATGTAAATATTCCTATTTAAAAATGAAAATTTTAACATCATGTGCAAGTTGCATCAAATGTATTTTGTTTATGAGTTTAGGTTTTGCTCAGCACCCTCTCTTTACCCTTTCCATGAGTGTTATAACCCTTATTTATATCATTGTTAGGTGAGTGTATTACCTTAGCATTAACATCACTTGTTTGCCCATGCGGCATTTCATTAAAGCCACATGGCTGAACATCAGTGGGGTCCACATTTAAATCACCACTACTTAACATTTCATCTAGGTCCAAATCAAGACATGGTATATTAATTGTGTGACATATATACACATCAATAAAATCCCATATATCCTTCAGGTCTTCACACAAAGCTAACACATCAGCATCATATTTCAGAAATCCAAATTCTCCTTTTTGGTTAATTTTACATGCATATTTATCTACTGTTAAGTACCCCCATATCCTTAGCCCAATCATGAAAACGAATTATATGCAATTCATCAATGTCAGCTTGAAGAACAACGGGCCAAGTTTGCCCATTTACATACCTCATAAATGGGTCAGCCACTAACCATCCTAGATGATGAAACTGTAATTTCACATAGACAACCATTGAAACCTATAAAAAAGGGAAGGGGTGGGAGGAGAGGGGCAAGTCAGATACACTTTAGCCCTAAAAAGCCATAAACTTTAACAAAGTGGGAGACAAGAATATTTTGATATTCAAAAAATCCCTAATTTTTTAACCCTAAATGCAATATCACTCATGAAAAAGACAAAACCCCTAAAATAAAGTGAATATTCGACTGTTTTCCCTAAAACCCTAATATAAAATCCCACAATTTGTGCATGCAGACAAAAGCCCTAATTGTTTAACCCCAAATGCCAGATCAGTCATGAAAAAAACAAAACTCCTAAAATAGAGTGAATATTTGACTGTTTACTCCAAAACCCTAGTATAAAATCCCAAAATAACAGATGACAATTTGTGCCTGCAGACAAAAATAGCTTTGACTAAGAAATTAGATGACAAAACAGAAATCGACACCAAAAGCAACAAACTAACCTTTAAATCCTATAATGTGACTAAAACCGAAAGCTCAGACCAAACGAAGCTCGATCAGGCTTTGATTAAAAGAGGGGGGGGGGACCCCGATCGGTTGGTTTTGGAGTGATTACGAATAATTTTGGAAAAGGATGACTAATTTTCATGCCATTACTTAACCTAGGTTTAAGAGGGGAGGGTTGGTTAGAGAGAGGAAAAGAGACGAAAAGTGGGGGAGGGTTGGTCGGTATACTGATTAAAAGAGGGGGGACCCCAATCGATTGAGGTTTATTTTCGCGTCCTTGTTGTGTAACAGTTCCATTGGTCATTTGCTGACTGGATGGACACATTAGCGAATATGTAATACACGCGCGTAGGGTCAAGGGTAAAATGTGTTTATTAGAGTTTGAATGTTTAAATGGGAAAGTTCAAAGTTTGTGTATCAGCTTTCAAAACCCCTACAAATTTAAGTGGCCTGGAAGCCATTACGTATTTTTATATTATCAAGTTATGTTGCTTGTGAAAATAAGTATCCGTTTACGACAAGCATGATAACCTAGAAAATATTATGAATATCTTGTTATAATAAGTATGATCTACTAACTTAATAATATAAATAACTAATTTTCTATAATATATTAAATTACAATAGCAGTGAATAGCGCATATAACTTAAATCCATTTTTTTTTTATATATCCGTTTTCGGCTGTCTCAATTGGAGGTATCTTCTTCTTTTTCTTGGCTGTAAGGTAGATATCAAATGTTAATCAACGAAGACTTTATTTCCACCAAGAATAGTATTAACCTAGTTCCATTAGCAATAAATATATGGATATCAAGTGAAAGTATTTATCATGAGAAATATATATTTTTATAGTATTAACCTAGTTCCATTAGCAATAACTATATGGATATCAAGTAAAAGTATTTATTATGAGAAATATATATTTTTAGTCGCTCTAAAAGATAATAGCTGATAAAGTATATACCATATATTTTGTATATATGTATATTATATAAAATAATATGTTATATACTTTTGGCTAGCAAATGTAATTAATTTCAGCCGACCGGCTAATTTTTTATTTTTCTCAAGTAATTAACCCAAATAGCCGTCCACTTAATCTCTTAAACTAAAAATAGTCGGCAAATATATAATATGTGTATAATTCATATACAATGTATGT